TGCATGCTTTCTGTCAGCTCCACATGCCTTCTGTTAGATCTGTAGGCTTTCCTCAGCTTCTGCATGATTTTTGTAAGCCACCAAATAGCTTGGCCAAAGCTTTGGTCCACATTAGAGATGGCCTCAGGGTATCCATTAATGCGGATAGCCACCTGGCCCAACGGATACCTGCCAGAGGATTTGGATTTGGGTGCAGATGCCAAATTCTCCTTGGAATCTTGGTGGGTATATGGGTATCTCCAGGGATACTTGTCAGAGACCCTCTCGGCCTGGAGACTGTACTGTCTCAAGGCTGATAAGGCACATTTAGCTTGTTGACTGGAAGGGTTTCCTTCCATTTGAAGAGGTGCATGTGCCTTGCTGGATATCCAAAGATATCTGCTTGGGTACCCGCCAGCAGATGTGGATGTGGGTGCAGATGGCTGATTCCCCTAAAAAAGCAGCCAGATATCCGGATGTGTTGGGGCCATCTCTAGTCCAGTTGTGCTCTCCTCACCACATCATGCAAATCCATTATCACCCTAAATATTAGTGAAGTTCATGATTGAGATTTTGAATTAGAGATGGAAATTCACACCTGGTTACCCGTGATGGGTGCGGGTACCTGCATGAAATTTCACTGATTTTGGTCACCTGAACCGGCGCCCAGCACCCACTGGGGGTACCTGCTCACCCTGGAAGGTTGCAGGCACCCACCAAGAGTTACAAACAGCAAAAAAAAAGCTGTTTCAGCCCCAATTTATGGCCAGGTACCTGCCTGGAATTCCACTCAATTTTGACACCCACACCTGTAGAGGGCACCTGCTGGTGGCAATGATGGGCCCACTACACTAACAGTAGCATTGGAGCAGCAGAATCCTACCAGGACTTTGCTAGTGCTACGTGCAACGCTGGGCCAGCTGCGCTACCCATAGCGGTTAGCACCGCGTAAAGTAGCGGTTAGCACAGCGTAACGTAGCGGTTAGCACAGCATAACGTAGCCGAATTCCACGCAACTTTAGCGTAGCGTAGCCAAATTCCGCCACGTCCACGCTAACGCTACGCGTGCAGGCCCTTAAAAAGGGCCCGCTACACTGCGCTAACGCACTGGTTAGTGGTGTTTTGGCTGTGTAGCGGCCGTTAGCGGCCCGTAGCAAAAAGTTGCTAACTTTTTGCTAACACTACACAAATTTGGCGCGCAAAAAGGACTGCTACGCTAACGCTTTTTGGGCAAAAAGTGTGGTGTAGCAGCCCAGTGCTGCTACGTGTGTAGGCCACAAAAAAGGGCCCACTATGCTGCGCTACAGCACATTTTAGTGGTTTTTGGGCTGTTTTTGCCACTTGTATTGGCACTAACAGTGTGCTAAAACTACAGGTTGATGAAATAATAGCCAAGTGAGCCAAAAGTTGTTTATGATGGAGAGGAAGACAGTGAAAATGATCTCACTGGAACAGCATGGGTGGTGGAAAAAGAAGGAAGAACCAATGGGTTTTCATTTACTAGGAAAAAGTTCTATGTTTTGAATAGACTGTTTACAAAGTGATGAACAAGTATTACTAAAATATTATTAGCTGATAAGTCATACTAACCAGGGTTCTTTGACTACAAGGATGTTGATCAGACATGCATAATCTTAGATGATAGAAACAAGCTATAATGATGAATGAAAACATGAGAGATGAAAGAAAAGAAGTGTGAATTTTGGAATGAGTAAAAAATATATCAAAATTCCAACACACGTTTGGCACACTTTTTTGAGGGTTGCTATGCTAACATTAGTGTTCCATCTAGTGTAGCAGCCCATTGTTGATGGTGGGTACCTATCATTCACCAGCAGGTACCTGAAGCCATCTCTATGTTGAATGCTTGTTTTGCTAGAACAAATACTCTATGTGTGCAGCTTGAATGTTGGATTTCCCTTGTAGAGAGAGTGTTTTCAACTGTTTTTAAGCTTTGCAGCAGGCCATGCAGCTGCTTGTTTGGGATAAATGGTTTTATGAGAATTATTGATATATAATCTTTTGGGCAGCCAAACAGAGCCTTAAGGCTGGGTTCATGGGTTTAAGTGATCATATCAATCCATTCAAATACATAAATCTGCTTAAGTAAAAAAGGGGTAACTAGGGGTTTGGTCAATTTAATCCCAAATTTGACAACTCCCAGTTGCAGCCTACATAAAAATATTGGAGTCCTGGAGACCATTGATCAGATTCATAAACCCTCAGCTGCTGGGAGGAATCCGGCAAATGCGAGTCTACACTCTCAATGTCCCAGAGGAATCCTCTTGGCCTTCATGAGTGTACACTCTTGGCCACCAGGGTTTGCTCTTGGCTGTTGAGATGGTACACTTTTGATGCCAATGGCTGGAAGGATTTCATCCCAGTTGCTGAGAGTGTACAAATCTTTCTTGATGGTTGGGTGGGCTGTCAAGATTTGGCCCACAACTCTGATTCTCTTGGATATTTTGGAGCCTTGACTCCCAAACCTTTCAGGGTTTTGATATTTGTTTATTAAAAAAATATAGGGAGTCAAACCCTCTTCCCAAAGTGGGGTGAATGACTCCCAAAAATTGCAGGGAGTGAAAGTTTAGGAGGTGGGGGGGGCATCCTGAGATGGTGCTCCCTTGGTCCTCTTGATCACGTCCCCTAAACTTGGGAGTCAGAACTCCAAATTTTGGGAGTGGATTAACCAAGCCTCTATTGAAAAAAGAATGAAAACTAGAGGAGTGAAAAATTCAAAAGGAAAAATTGATGAATGCCAAGTTGGCTGGGCTTAACTGTCTGTTAGCTAAGCAACTTTAGACCTTGTTGCCCAACATTAGAAAAAATTTACAATGCTGACTCACTTGAAAAAACTCCACCTAATCCAATCCTCAATCCAATTTACAGGATAAAGCTCTGAAATCTGAAAATTGGATGAGGAGAGAGACACCATGAGCATCCAATACCCCGTTGACTTGGATTGTGGATAGCTAATGATGTATTGTGTTTTTACAATACCTTGGACGGATCTGCAATATTTTGCGAATTCCAGACCAATGTAGATATCAAATTAGTGAGTTTTGCACTGGGGTTTTGTCCTTGCACGTATGAAGATCCAGGATGCATGGGATTTCCCATCTTGTGTTGAAGATCCTTCCTGCGGATTTTCAAAACCATACTCCATGGACAGAAATACATATTTACATAATACCAGCATGATGAGCTAATAAATAAATAATACCAGCTTTCACATCCCCACCGATCCTTCCCCCTCCAGATATCCCCCCCCCAGAGTGACAAATCTGAATCCTACATCGTTCACCAACCATGGAACCAGGTATTCAACCCCTCCAATGCGATGATTCGGCCGATGCGTCTTTACCTACCTACAAGCAGGTCATAACCGATCATCCTTCTGCTAAGAATTCCGTCAGGTCTGCGATTAAAAAGAAACCCCGAGCGGCTCAAAAGAAGAAATCAAGAGCGAACAAGAAAGCGGCCAGCCCGGAGGTCATCAGTGATGAAGAAAAGGAGAACCCGGTGCGTGGTGGCATTCTCACCATAATCTTACTGCGTTGGAAACTGACCTACCCAAGCAATCTAAACCTTGCAGGCTCAAAAGGTCATGGTGTCGACCTCATTCAAGCTTTTTGTCTTGGATGTCGATAAGTCCAAGAAAGCGAAAAAGGTGTGGCTTCTAATCAGCCCACCAAATCCAATTGAACTTGAAATCACAGCGAGTCCATCGGAACTGGCGACGTCTTTTGATGAGTTCAAAACTCTGGTCACCACCAACTGCGAGTCGGCGGTAAACAACACGGGTCGCATTCTCACTGAAGGTTTATTGACTGGGTCACCTGAGATCAATTGGTTTGTCTCCATCGCTCGCGTTGAGGGCTTCAAGAAGGGGAAACCGTTCCCACTTACAAATGCGGCGGCATTCAACTCTTGGATCGAGGCACTTGCCGAAGTGAATGCTGACGAGTCCTGCTTATCAATTGAGATGACCAACCCAAACAAGGTTGCCAAGCTCCAGCATGATGCTGAGGTCCTAGCGAAGGACGCGGCACGCAAGGAGGCCAAGTGGCTGATCATTGCGGCTAGGGAAAAGAGGGCACTGGAGGGTGATACCAATGTCGGAAAGCGCAAACGACTGGATGAGGACTCTGATGAGGAAGACGACGACTCTGGAAACGAGGTCGACTACGAAAAGGATGCGGTCAAACTCATCATGAGACAGCTCTATGCGACTCATTCGGCTAATGCGTTGTACGATCGTCACCTTCCGGTATACATCCACCCGACCAATCGCTCAAAATTCTTTCTCCTGTCCAATGGCACTTGCCAGAAATGGGCTAGAGCCATGGTGAGCTCGATTGTTGATTGTGTCTGCAAGGGATTCATGCTAATCTT